GCCTGCAGGGTAAACTTTGCTAAACACACATTTTGCTTTTTATGACTCAGACTCGGCAAGAGGCAAAATGCGGTGACATGTCTGAGGGCTGTTAGAAATGGAGCAACCAGCACACTCACCGCAGACAGTTGACAGAGGATTGAAGACCTGGTCCAACCTCACTGTGACACAAAAATGACCACTACTACTCTAGACAGATAACACCAAGAGCAACCCAGACTTTGCCCAGTGCTGCCCTGACAGCCATCCCTCCTGTTCCCTTGAAACAGCCAAAGTCAGCTGGCAACGTGACACGTGTAACTGCTGGACCAGCCCCAATGTCACAACCCCTTAATTTGGGAACTAGTGTAGAAGTGGGAAAGGCGTGACACGTTATCAGGTGCCTTATAGACTTTTTTGCTCCTGTTTTCCTTCTGCAGTGTGACAATGAGTGGCATTTACAGCTTGAGTCAGTTTACCTTGGAGACGTGTGCCCTTTTGAGATGGCCTGGTGTGCCTCACATGGCCTTCAGCTGCTGCACGGTGGCTCTGGAGATCCTGGGGCACCTCTGTCTACACCATGAGAGTATCGCCCTCCACAAACTTCTTACGAGAAGTCTAGATCTCCACAGAGACCAGTCTGTGGGGGAACAGGAGTTCTTTCCACAGACCCGAATGAATCACTTTTAAAAAAAATCCCCCAGAACATAAATTTAATTCCAGGCTTTTCCACAGAAATTGCATGAACTCAGTGACTGCCTCACACACACTGCTGTGGAAACAAATTCCACTGATACACCAGCTATGATCGAATACTGTAGGGACAAGGGCCCCACTGTTATTTGGACAGACGTTTCCTGGTTGTACAGCGGGTTCCTGGCTCCAGATTTTGTTCAAGGTAGAAATGCATATAACACGTCAGACTTTTTCCTGATTTCTGGGAATTTCCTGATCTTCCCAACCTTCCACAGTAGCCATCAGAGCTATAGGTTGGCATCTCTATGTAGCTTCTCCAAGGGGATCAATGCAAATCCCTAGTGCCTTGCAGGTCCAGTCCACAGCGAGCATGCTGCCAGCTCAGGTTAGGAAAACTTCAGGGTTTCCCTCCCTTGTTATTTAAATCAAAACCCACAAACATTTTGCCATAGCTACAAAATATGATTTGACTCCTTTGAGTCCTCAACACCCTCTTTCGTTAGAACAAAGCAGGTGAGTAATGGCAGCAGTGGAACAAGTTAGTCCACTTCATAAAGTAATCTGCAGATAAGACCTGAAGGACTTAGATCAGTGCAGGGGGAAATAATGAGTACTACCTGATGAACGGTATCAGGAAATATCTCCTCTCGAAACGCCTTGTGGGTTTTCTGCAGTGGCATCTCTGGTCAGCCTCGCACTTGTAAATTGAGTGCAAGCTCTAGAGGCAACTCGTTTTCTGGGCGGTAATAACATGTTCAGCTAATTATATGAGTTCCTGCAACTTGGCTTCCCTTTGAGAGAGCAGCCTGGGCTGTAGTAGAAAACAGAGGACGTTTAAGATGGATCTAATTAGAAGAACTTTTTGAATCACCTGAGAAGGTAAACCATATTATATCTCTGGGTGTCTTCTTTATTTTCTAAAAGATATGGGATAGTAACTATTGTGCTGGGTGGATTTGCAAAAGAGGGTGTAATTATTTTGCAATATTTATGAAAAAGAGAAACTTACCAAAGTAGTAAAAAGGAGGTCATGTATACCACCTGTGTCCTGGGTTAAAGTGAGACCTTGCTATTTACCTCTAGGAATCTCCTCCACTTTACAGTTAATTTTTAACAACATTTTTCAGCCTGAATACTGTGGAGAAGAGATTTGGAGCAAACCTGGGCTCCTTTAGTTCTCTGGGGCTTTATAAGTCAAAGATACTTATTGCGTCCCAGGAGAAAGTTTGTATGAGAAATGATGAATGTGTCCACATAGCTTCTGTTTTACCAAGAGAAGGCACATAGATACTTGAGAAATTGCTTGCTGAAAAATTTACAGCAATTCTTTTTTCAACAAGAAATTAAATGAACAGGGGAACAGCCCCATTACTTGAGAAGAACATTAATATTTTTTTCCTCATTTATTATTTGATATTTGTTTGTTAGTTCTCTGGTTTTCTAAACACTGGCTTGGGATTTGGGGATTTTTAACTAGCTATCAAAGCCTGAGTAGCAGCAGGGTTCTCATTTGCACAAGTTGTCCTTCATATGGTTTATTATGTATACAATTAATGGGGCATTTGATCTCAGCTACACGGTTCCACAAAGAGTGTATTTGAAAATAGAGGCTGACCCACAACATTTGAATATGAATGCAAGCTTGTGAACAGTGCAAAAGATACATGCAAAACTGTAGCAGATGCTGTTTAAACTCATCACAAACTTTGTTTAGTGATCTTCTTTCCTTTTATCTGTTTTATCAACCCTTTACCAATGAAATACGAGTTCTTTGTACAGATTAAGCTACTGTACCATATGTTGTGAGCATATGCTGCATATACAAAACTATCAGAAATCTTTGTTCTGTTACTGTTTCTAGTATCGAGGCATGTCACTATCTCAAGGATGTGTGTCACAGCTTATAACTTGGCAATGTTTCCCTCTTGATCCGTTTTGATCCATCTTGGTCTTGGGATCAGCCAGACCCATGGAAGTCTTGAAGTTGTCACAAGTGGATGTCTTCAAAACAGCAACATAGTCTCTTTTGTAGAATGCTGGATATACTGATGGACATGCCCAGCAAACCACAGAAACTTTTCCCTACCTTTTTCTTTTCTTTTCTTTTCTTTTTTTTCAATTCTGCCAGTCATTCATCCATTGGATTAAAAAAAAAAAAAAAAAAAAAAAAAAGCCAGTAACAGACTTTTTTTTAATGGATTTTGGGATGGGGTAGGAAGGTGTTCTGAACCAGGGAGATGTCTTGCTTTCTGGTTATTCCTATATAGGAGCATAAGAGCAGCCATACTAGGTCAGCGCCAAAGTCTAGAGAGCACAGTTTTTAGGTTTGGGTTGGTTTTTTTTTTCACCTCTGTTGCTACTCTAGAATATCTTCAAATTAATTTTCCTTTTCTAATTGCATCTCAGAATTCAGTTGACATTTCTTCAGACCCCATTTCTGAGTGGTACTAGTTCAGAGTCCATCACAGAATACATAACGTCAGGATCGTTTTTCTACCTTACACTTACCAGCGCTGAATTTCATTAATTTCATGACCCAGTCGTTCAGTATCCTGCGATCCCTACGCAGATCTTTGCAGGCAGGCTTTGCTTTTGTTAGCCTCAATCATGTAAAGTTCACATTCACACATTCACAAAACACACATTCACAGTGTTGTATCACTGATCACTGCCTTTTCCACATCACTTGAGAATAGAGGGTAAGACACAGGCTTACACGCACATTCCTGTGGAGCTCTGGTGACGACATCTCTCTACTGGAAAAGCCAATAATGTCTTCCTACTTTTGCCTCCTATTTTTTTAACCAGGTCAGTATCCAGGTGAAGCCCTCTGCAGATGAATCTTTCTGACAAGTCCCTGCTGGATACCCACGTCGGTGACGTCAAGTATATTGCTTGGCTATAAGCTCATTGCTGTCCTCTATCCATTCACAAGGTGAGACCACACGTCATGTTCACATTATAATTTTCTGTCATGGGCTCTTTCGAGCAGGAAAGTCACAGCGAAGCACCTCATCCACTTGGGAGCACCAGCTCTGATCTGCACTGTGGTGGCAATGGCAGCCATTGCCAACGCTCATTATCATCTCAGGGGGTGCTGATTTTTCTGCTTTCACCTGGTGATTCACAGCCTTTCAAAGCCTGACTTTGTTTGAGCAGCCTTTTCAATACAAAAAGATCATAATTTTACAAAAGCTCATAATTTTAGTCAAGCTGAGGTTACCCGCTCAGGTACTGTTCAGCACTGTTCTTGAGTCTTTTCTCTATGCTTCCCTTAAAATGATTTTCACAGTCCACTTGGGTTCTGCCTTTTCCTGCCTCTCTACTAGTTGTTCATCCTGGAGCTAGGGAACTGCTTTGTTTGGAATAATCAGAAAGGGCATATTCATAGCAAAATACATATTTTTACGTACTCTTCAGCTCCCTTTCTCTATCCCTCTGGTTGCATAAATGTATCAGCACCCAGTATAAGGGTCCATGCATGTTTTGCCTCTCCCTTTATGTTTCATCATCCAATCTACTGCATGAGTAAAATAGCTTTGGTATTAATGAGCTGGAAAAAGGTGTTTTTTTCTGGTTTTTTTTTTTTTATTTCAGGCACCACATTATATTTCAGTGTGTCAGTATTCTTGGGTTCTAGGTGATTCACTTGTTATATTCAGTGCAATTAATGGAGATGTATACTAAAAACTCAAAATTAAGCAGATTTTTTCCAGGACGTATCACTCTTCATTGTCTCCCTTGTTAGCCAAGGGGTGACCAACAAAAAAAAAAAAAAAAGAAATCTCTAGCTGAGCCCATGATGTTACTACAGCCCTCTCCAGAGCGGGACAGGGCCGGTAGCAGAGCTATCCCTGCAACAACAGGACAAGCCCTCGCTTACAGCAATATTTCTAACTATTCCCTCATGTTCCAGCTGTGCATTTGCCAGGTACCACTGTGAGGAATATTTGAAGATCCAAAGTCAACTTTTCTCACGGCAGATGAATTTCTAGCACCTCATTTGTCCCTGTCAGGAATCTGCTTAGGATTCTGCTTTCTCTAAGCGATTTCTTTCTCCCTCTGTTTTGAGTAGGTACAGCCAACATGAAAACAAAAATGAGATTTGAGGGAAGCAGTCTGGTGACAGTGGCAGAGGAATAATTACAGACCTTGTTCCGTGCTCTGTCTTGGTTGGCGTGAACAGGCCGATTGTGCTGAAAAAGTCCAAACATAACTGTTTTTGTAGAGTGTGCTGGTATTCCTACTGTGTGAGTCAGCTGAAAATTCCCTGATCCTTTTGCTTTATTTTCCTCTCAGGCTGTACAGCAAAGTCAGTGGACAAAATGCCATCCCCGATTACTGCAGGTCTCCACTGCCTATTTTTACTGGTCACAGCATGTTGCCAGACATCACAGGACTCAAACTTGGATCCATTCTTCCAATATGTAGTGAGTATCCTTTCCCAACCCATTTCATGTGGTCTCTGCCTGTAGCACCCAGCTGGTATAGCTCTCCTTTACATCCACAAAAACTTAGAGGCAGTCAGCGTAAGATCAGGTGGGGAAACTGAACCCAGAGTCTCCCCAGTACATAAGAAAGGTGGAGAAATCCAGGAAAAGGGCTCTTCTTGCTTCCCAGTCTTAAAGCCTCTCCAGAAAGAACTGAGCAAAACTTCTGGTTTCTCACTTGTGTTAGTCTGCAAGGGATTTGAATTGCTGTCCCTGGAGCTAAGCCTAGGTAACAGTTACGTGGGCAGCACTGTTCCTGGATGGGATTCACCCATCCTAGGAGAGAGAGGCGCCAAATAACAAATCTGGCTCCGTTTTGCTTACAGGTAGGTGACAGGAGTCTCACCACTGTCTTGACAATGGGACATGAGTACACATGACCAAAATGCTACTCCTGAGTTTAGACTTGTGTTTAGATGCTGCACTTGGACTCAGACTTTACTTCAGTTTCCCACTTTTTCAGTAATTCTCACATACCTCTTTTACTTCATCAGTGGTGCAAATTAAGGAAATTTTGTCCTTCATCCTGTGTATGGGTTTGGTAACAGTTTCTGCACAACTAGTACCTGACTAGAAACGACAAAAGAGGAACAGAGAAACAAAGGGACTGACCAAGTGGAATTTAATATAGTCTGGTAAAGAAAAGTAGCCTACAAATCTGCCAGCTCTTGGTCTATCGCAATTATTATTAGACCAGAAAATACTTCTTTTGTCTTCTGCATTATGAACCCTATCAAGCCAAAACAGATTCTAGCATCTATATTCAGCCCCTAGCACCACAGATACCTTAGTTCTGATGGATGACCAGAACACAATGTGCTTTTTTGAGCAGGTTGAAAAAAGGCAAGGAGAGGTGAAGAGGAAGGTGGGAACTCCTTAAGCTGTTTCTGCCACTATCCCGTGTCTTGGCAAGATATAGCTGGTTCCAGCAGCCCTGTATGCCCTTTGGCAGATGTCTAATAGTGACCAAATATCTTGTTTGATCTGTTTTTTGGTTGTGTTTTGTTGGGGGTTTTTTTTCCAAACTGTCTCCAGCTCAGCACTTAGGCATTTTCATGAGAAGAGTAACACTTTATTTTTTATAGCATCATTGATCCATGGTTGATCCTGCAAATGAGTCATCACTTAATGGTGTGAAATATGCGAAGTATTTAACGGCATAGCAGTGAAGTATTTAACGACATAGCAATACCCTGTAGTTGTTCGGGAGAATAATTAAAAAAGGAAACCACTGAGACCAAACCTGGGGGAAGAAGTGGACCACAGTGGGCTTCCTGTAACTTTTTGCAGCTAACCTTTAAGGTGAAAGGTAGCACCCCAGCAGTGCAAAAATGCCAATGCACCTTGGGATCTTCACTGCCAGCCCAGCTGCGATACAAAGCCCAGCTCTAATCACACACCAGATGGTTCCTTTATGTAAAGAGATGACTTAAGGGTTGCCAAGCTATTCACCCTTTCTGTAAATAAAGATTTCAGCAGAACTCAAGAAACTGGCAAAGCTGCAGATTTCCTGCCTGCGTCTTTGCTTGTTCTTTAGCCTTCCTTGCTAACTGTCGTGCCAATGTATTTTTAGGGCATGATTAAAAAAATAAGACGGTCTGCATCTCACTTGGCTGCACCTTGCATGAACCCAGTTGTACTGAAATTGTGCCACCACTGCCCTGGTCAACTGTTGTGCTACTGATGGCCCACAAAATAGCTGACCTGACACCTGAGCTGGAGCCAAGACATTTCAATCCCCTTTCCACTCCTACTCAGGCTGGCTTTGCTGCTGCAGAGCTGGAAGCTCAGAGCAAAGAGGAAAGCAAAGGGTAATACGGGTCCACTTTCTGGATTCAAAGGCTGAAGCAGTTTGCAAGGCTGGCCCAGGACTGAGAGCACTGCATCAGCCCCATAGCCAGTTTGCAGCTCAGACACAGAATTTCTGCTAAGCTGAGACGATTGCCTTGCAGAGAAATGCAGAGACACCTGCAAACTCGGTACATCCCTGTGGTGGGTTGACCCTGGCTGAGGGCCAGGTGCCCACCAGAGCCGCTCTGTCACTCCCCTCTTTCATTAGACAGGGGAGAAAAGGTATAATGAAAAGCTTGTGGGTCGAGATAAGGACAGGGAGAGATCACTCACTAATTATCGTCACAAGCAAATCAGACTGAACTTAGAGAGGGAATTCATCTAATTTATTACTAAGCAAAACAGAGTAGAGGAGTGAGAAATAAAACCAAATCTTAAAAACACCTCCCCCCACCCCTCCCATCTTCCCGGGCTCAACTTCACTCCCGGCTTCAACCTCCTTCCCCCTCAGCGGCACAGGGGGACGGGGAGTGGGGGTTACGGTCAGTTCATCACACGGTGTTTCTGCCGCTTCTTCATCCTCAGGGGGAGGACTCCTCTCATCGTTCCCCCGCTCCAGCGTGGGGTCCCTCTCACGGGAGACAGTCCTTCACGACCTTCTCCAACGTGAGTCCTTCCCACAGGCTACGGTCCTTCACGAACTGCTCCAGCACGGGTCACTTCCATGGGGTGCAGACCTTCAGGAGCAAACTGCTCCAGCGTGGGTCCCCCACGGGGTCACAAGTCCTGTCAGCAAACCTGCTCTGGCGTGGGGTCCTCTCTCCATGGGTCTACCAGTCCGGCCAGGGACTTGCTCGAGCCTCGGCATCCCATGGGCCACAGCCTCCTT